CCATAACCAGCAAGCTTTATTTCAGTCAAATCCTAAGGGAAATAGACACAACAGCCACCCTACCCTGGTGGCCCCAGTGAGGAGAAGGTGCTGAAGTGTCTGCTGAGTGTTTTGGGATAAAGGTGCCACAGCTCTGGGTGCCAGACCCCAAATACATCCCAGAGCTGCTTCATTCAGTCAGTGTCACCTGGGCCCTGGGCAGGGAGTGCCTGCAGGCCTGGATCATGGCCTGGCCTCATGGATGGGGAGGGACAGCCCATTCTCTGAGCAGCTTTTCCTTTGCACTGCCCTGCTCCACCTCCATCCAGCTCTGCCCAGTGTCCCCCAGCTGCCCTGGTTTGTCACCCCTGGATTGGAGCTCAGAGCTCTTTGCTGCTTGGAGCAAAGGCCACCAAACAGTTCCTTGTGGCTGGTGGCACCTGGAAACACCAAGGGCACGTGGATTTCTTCAGCTGGTGCCTGGATTTACCCTCCTCAGGTGCTGGGCAGTGTGAGGTCAGATTTGATTTAGGTTTTGATTTGATTTAGGTGAGTTTTGGGGCAGAGCCCACTCAGGAGGGGTTTGGCACACACTGGGGTGAGCTGAAGGAAGCAATTTAAAATCCTGAGCAGTTTCTTGGTGCTCAGGAAATTCTGCTCCCTGCAGCCTGGGCCAGGAGCAGGGCAGGCTGCCACAGCCCTGGGCCTGAATTCAGGAGCTGGAGGCTCCCCTGCCCCTGGCCAGGGCTGTTTCCAACCATCACAATGACCAGGGCTGGTTTTTCAGCATTCCTCCAAAGCAGACTTCAGTTAAATTCAGGCTTCCTGTGTTGTAGGTGCATCAAATTCCAGGTCAGGCTGGGGAAATGTACAGAACTTCAAACTTTTCCAACTGGAAGGAGCCCCAGGCTGGCCTAGCAAAGAGCTGCATTTCTGTCCAACATCACATACACTGATCAGGGGCTGCCATGCCAGCTCTGAGAGGACACCTCAGAGGTTGTTACAGCTCCATACAACCCCTCTCCAGGGCAGGCAGATCTGGGAGGCACCAATTCCTCTTCCCATCCTTCCCCACAAAGTGTGACTGAGCTGGAACAAAGAGATTTCTCAGTGAATCCCCATTGCAGCAGCTCCAGGGAGCCCAGGGGATGCTGCTCCTCACCCACCCCCAGCACCTGAACAGGAATTCTGGGCCCTGCTGCTCCCTCCCAGGGTTGCACCGAGGACTGTTCCCAAAACACAGCCCCACCAGAGTAAAATGCAATCTATTTTATTGGTTAATTATGTACAGGAGATTCTTGATATTCACAGTAACATCAGACAAGTTACCGCCACAAAGAGCAAGAATAAAAACAAAACTGACAGTCCACTGTAAACAAAACTAGAAATCCTGCTGGATTGGGTGGGACTGGCTCCAGACAAACTCAAAAGGCACTCAAAGAAAAGCAACAAAAGCCCTCTGAGGGACAGGCGCGGCTGCTCTGAGCTCCCTCCTCGGTGACACTGCGGAGGCACAGCGTGTGCAGGGCACAGAGACGGGCACAGGGTGTCACCCCCGAGCAGGACGCGTGTGCCACCCTCGGAGCCCTCCCCGTGCTGCCAGGACCAACCTGGACTCGGCAGAGGGGCTGGGGCTGCCCCAGAGCTGCCGATCCCGCCAGAGGGAGCTCAGGCTTTGCTCAGGCTGTGCCGCAGCACGCAGCGGCCCGGCTGAGGGCACACCGCGCTGCCATGGCGGCAGGGGAGGCCGATGGCTGCTCTGGATTGTCACACTGAACTGGGAGAGCACAGCCACGGCAGGAGGAGCAGCCCTTCCCCAGCTGAGCCCCAGGAGCTGAGAGCACAGGGGACACAGCAGAGGGGACACAGCAGAGGGGACACAGCCTCACCTGCCCTCCTCAGCCACCTCCCCTCTCACCTTCCCAAACCTCCCCCCGTGCCGGCTGTGGGAGCAGCTGGGGCACCTGAGAGCCTCGTGTCCCCTCCCTGTGCCTGCTGCAGAAAGCTCTGTGCCCTCTCTGGGGACAACACGGGCACAGAGAAGCTCATTCTGGGGGAAACAATCCCAGGGCACAGGTGGTACAAACAGAAAAGCTTAACAAGAACCAGACTGACACTGATGAGCCACAGCCTGATCTCCAAATCATCCCTCAGAGAATTCAAGTCTGGCCACTTGGATGCACAGAAAAGTGGCTAAAAGGTGACAGCAAGATCAGGCCAAGCAGCTTCTGTTCCAAAGAAAGACACAGCAAGAGGTATATGAGGTGACCAGTGCCACCACACAGCCACTCCTCACTCCAGCCTGTCATTGTGATGGCAACAATTGCAGCCCCTTCCAGCAAAAACAATGGCAACCCTGAGCTCCTCCAGGGGTGCAAACCTCCCCCATCAACCACCACCTCCAGCTTTTAACAGCTCCAGTTCTCTCTGACCAACACTCAGATTTCCTCTCAGCTCCAGCAGCAGTGAAGGGATTGTCCATTTTCTCTGTCCAACACTAACGTTCCTCCCAGCTCTCCAGGGATGGGGAGGGTGAGGTTTCCCCTCCCATGATTACCTGGAGGGCACAGCAAAGTTTCACCTTGGTGACAGGTGCAGAGAGGGCACAGGAGGCTCTGTCACAGACAGAACTCCCTTCAAAGATCAGACTGGGGAAGGAAGCACTTTAGCCCTTTTCCTGTCTCTCAGCAGGAGGTGGCTAGAACTTTTCCATGAAAAGAACTTTGCCTCTCTCACCCAGATGTGAATGTGCTACAGAAAGCAGCTACATAGGAACCTAAGCCTGCTTTTAACTCAGTTCCTTTTATTCTCTAGTTGCACTGTCCAGAGAAAACAAGATGTCCAAACAAACACTTGGCATCAGCCCAGGAGGGCTCTCGGGAGGTGCAGGTCAAGCCCTGGCAGCAGCAGTTGGGATTTCCTTACAGAGGGTGGGCTCTGGGCAGGGACAGCAGCACCAGGTACTCAGGGATGGCCTCACCCCCTTCCAAAGATCAGCTTTCCTCACCCAGCTGCTGCCTCAAGTCACCAGCAGCATCTTCAGGGGAAAAAACCTTTCCTGTGTGTGCCCAGAGGCTTTATCCAGCAGGATTCCCTGTTCTCATGGCCTGTCCCAGACACCAGCCCCAGCCTGAAAGTGCTGTCTGTTCTCAGTGCCCTTCCCAAATTCCCACTCTTCCCTTCCAGCCAGTTCCAGGCACAAACTGGGCAATCTGGGCAGAGGGAAGACTCCAGCTTTGCACCACCTTTGCACCACCACCTCCAGCTCTGCACAAGCTTTTTAACATCCAGGTGCTAAACCAGGGCTGCTCCCCAAGCCTGGCCTGGCAGGAGGGTGGTTCTGCCCCCTCACAGCCTGGGCACTGGGCACAGCACTGAGTTCCCTCAGTGCACTGAGAACCTGCACCTCCAGCATGGGCACACTGTGATTGTCCAGACCAAGAGGAGCCATCTGGGTCAGGAATAGTTTTTGATTGGCCCATGCTGCTCCAAATTTCACCTGAGAAGACACTGAAGGCTGCTCTAGTCCTGTATTTTCCTTCTCTTCTTCCCCAAGTCTCTCCTTTACAGGAATGTGGTTGTTTTCCCTCTTCACCTCCAGCCAGGGATACCCTCCAGCCATTTTCACTTTAGTGTCATGAAATCATTATTTAGCTCTTGCCCCATTTACAGAACCAATTCTAGTAACCCAAAGCTTAGCTCTAGTTGCATCCAGGTGCAGCTCCACATGAAGTACCTGTGGGATCAATGGTTTATTGGGAATCTTTCTGCCCTGTAAATACAGAACCATTATCTGCTCCATAACTGGCAAGGGAAAGCAGCCCAACTCAAGTGTTCTCCCTGGGGGCTGAGTAAAGCTGCTGGATACATCAGATTGACAACACTCATCATCTCTGGGGGGCTTGGAGGGCAATTTCATCCAGTCCCTGAAGCACACAGCTCACATCCTTGGGTCAAAGTCCTCCCTTGCCAGGACACACCTGAGCGTGTCTGATGTGCAGCACCAAATCTTCCTCTGAGGCTGAGTCCTACAGCAAAAGGTGTCATTGGCCCCAAAAGCCACAATGCCAGGGCAATCTCCTCCCCTGGCATTATGTACACATTGAAAAAAAAAAATTAAAACAGCCATTCACACATTATTGGCAACTGATCTTTTCCTACTGTTCATTAAACCCTCACTGATGAGCATTTACAATTTAAAAATAAAATGGTTTTGTTTTCCTTTTAAAATAATTTCTACAGTTCTGTCAGCCAACTAATTTCAATCACAGCATAATCTAAGAATAAAGCAAATCCTGGCCAGGAATGGCTGCCATGGACTCTCAGGAGTCAAGGGGAGCAGCGTGTCCCAGCTCCTCACATCCCTGCACCCCTCCAGGAACCTGTAGTGAACTCCAGTTGATTTTCTTTATCATGATTCTCTTGGCAGCTTAGGAATGCTCCAGTCCTCGTGTGGCTGCGCTGGCAGGGAGCAGAGGGGTGGAGAGGCACCCCAGTGCTAGTGGCAGTGCTCTGTGATGTCCACCACCACTGCCTTCTTCCAGCTGAAGAAGAAGTACCCGGTGCCCGCTCCGGCGGCCACGGCGATGCACAGGTACCCGTTGTAGGTCATGAAGATGAGCATGAGGAAGTAGCTGACCACCACCTGGATGATGTGCAGCACAGTCTGCAGCAGGTGGGGCAAGCTCAGCATCTGCTGCCTGGGAACACAAACCCAAACAAGTCAGCTAAAGGAAAAGGTGGAAAATGCTCATCCCCAAAGAGAAAGCGGCCAGGGCAGCAAGGTGGGTATGGGGTGGCACAGAAGGTGACACCAGCCTGGGCAGGGACTCCTGGCACCTGGAGCTGTGGTTTTGCATGCAGCTTGCTGGGAGGACACAACTTTTAGCTGAGAAACACACTTTGCCAAGCTTCTTTTACCCCCCCCCATTCAAAAGCTGACTGGCTCCTGTGCTGCACACAGGCCTTGACTACCTGTCCACAAAAAGACTCTGAGTGTTTTCTGTCAGGGTCACTGGATGTAACATCCAAGCTCTGTTCCTCAGAACTCCCCCAGATGTGTTCATTACAAAAACCCCAAGCCCATCTGGCTCCTTGCTGCTTTCCTCCTTTTTCCCCCATCCCTGAGGGTGCCCTGGTGTCCCCCATCCTCCAGAGCCACGCAGCCCCCCAGTCTGGAGCCAGGACGCTCTCCAGAGATCAAAACTGGCTGCACAAAGTTCCTTCTGTGCCAGTTCCAGCTGCAGAGCTCTGCTTTAGGATGAAGGGAGTCCTTACCCCACAGTTTTGTGTGTCTCCATCAGGATGGTGCCGTTGGGGCCGGGCACTGGCATGGAGTTGTAGCGGATGCTGACTTGGGATTTCCGGAGCAGACACTCCCGGGCGATCTTCAGCCCTTCATAGAACATGGCCAGGAAGAAGACAGCCACAAAAGCACCAGCCATCTCTGACAAGAGAGGAAACACCATTGTCTCTGGGCAGGAGAATGCCAGCAGAGCCACTGTGTGATTGAACTGGGCTGCACAGGCCACAGCCAGGCTCCGTGTGCAGGCACAGATGGGTGGCAAATGGGAATTTCATCCACACTCTCACTGCAATTCCACACATAAAGCAAAAGCAGCAATCATTTTTGCTAATAAAACCAAATTCTTGAACTCTAAAAATATCTCAATTTTTCCTTCACCCCACAGATGCCATTTAAACCAGACTCAACACAGCATATCCACAGATTTTTAGCACAAGTAACAAAGTAATTCCTGAAACATTGATCCTGAAATACCAACTGCAAACCTTTTGTTGGCTGCACAAGACAGTGTTACTAACCTCCAGGAGAATTGATTGTAAGTCCAGAGAACAGCAATGGCACATTCTCACAGCTGAAGTGGAAAGTCATGGCCTGCCCAAAACACAAAGAACACCAAGATGAGCGTGAAGAGCTCATCCCAAGGAGCTCAAGCAAGGTGTGACAGTGGGGTTTGTATCAGAACAAGAACTCAGATTTGTTTGGTCAGCACCTAAACTCCAAAGAACTCTCCAGCAGCAGATGTGGTGTGACACACACCAGTGAGGCAGGGATGAGATGCTCCAGGCCCCAGTTCCAGCTCCTCAGGCAGCCCTGGGCAGGGGGCCCTGTCCTTCACAGGACTCCAGGGAAGAGCCTTCTCCTTGCCTTTGCAGCTCCTTTTCCCTCAGCATCAGCAGTGCTCAGGGACTGGGGATGTCTCCATGGAGCTCCTCCTTGGCTCCCCATCCCCTCAGGAATTGGGCACAGGGCACTTTTCCCTCCCCACTTGGACTTTGTCTGGATGACACAGGTAAGGGTTGCACAGGTGAGTCCTCTGGTCCCCTCCTGCACTGTGCCAGCTGTTGTCTCCCTATGGAATTCCCAATATCCTGAGGCAAACAGAGGCCTAAGCAGCTACACAAGGAGCTAAAGCCACTTCACAGCTGCCCCTGGGTGAAAACAAGGGCTCCTGAGCTGCACAGTGAATGCTGTGGGAAGGGGAAACAGCAAAGATGCCCAGAGCAGCTGGAGGTGATACAAACTAGGTAAAAACAGCTTGGCATGTCTTGGGCACAGCTGCACACAGGGTTTTCACATGGGAAGTCCTGACCAAGCAAGAGGAACTTCTCTTTGAACTTCCCTCGTTGCTTAATTAAGGTTATTTGCTGAAGCTCAGAATTATGATTCATTTCAGCATCTGTAAGAATCAGCTCATTTTCCCCAGAGCAGAATTTACTGTAAAACACCTTTTAGAGAGTACTTTCATCTCTTCAATGAATTGAACATATTTACATTTAAAACAAAACCCACATAAAGCAAAGAACTTCAGGTGAACCTGAGCCTGTTACTTGGTACCAGTGAGGATTGGGAAAACACACATTAAATGTGCTCAGTCTGTTATCTAAGATGCTCCACCTATGTACTGCCTTCCCTGACAGATTTATTTGCAATATGAATGCAAAATCTGGTGCAATTACTCACAGTTTTCAGCTGCAGGGCAGGGCAGGGTCCTGTAACTATCCAGTGAACACTTGACATTTGTAAAGAAATGACATTTACATGGAAAGTAATGGCCCAGGGATGCCAAAACTGAGCTGAGATGATGGGAAGAGCTCACAAGGAGAGCAGTGGCAGTGCTGGACTGAGAGCCCCACGTGGGCCATGCCCACCAAGGCTGTTCTGGTGCTCTGACACTGGTTGCAATAGAAATAGAAGCAGAGATTCTTGGTTCTCTCCTCAGGCACAGAGCTGGCAAACAAACTCCAACTGATGGTTTGCAAAATCCACTCCTGAGAACTCTCATATGAAACAGAAATGTGTCCTCTCTCCCCTCCTTTTGAAATTTCATCATAAACAGGCATGTTTTAATAATCTGAAACTCACTCCAAAAGTATTTAGGAAAAGGAGAAAAAGCTGAAAAAGCTCCTAGAACTGGCTACACACAAACACTGACCCTCCAGCCACCTCCATGGAAACTCTGCCAGAATGCACAAGTCTGAACCTGCTGCAATCAAAGTCAGCTGGAGCAGCAGGAGTCAGACCAATGCAGCCTTAATGCCAGCATGGCAAATGCCCTGGCACTGCTGTGCTCCCAGCAGAGTGTGCTCTGAGGGTTCAGGAGGGAAGGGGGCTCAGCACAGCCCCTCACACTGCTGGGCAGCCCCTCAGGGCAGCCTGGGGCTCCCCCTGCCAGCCTGGAGAAATCCATCCATCCATCCATCCATCCATCCATCCATCCATCCATCCATCCATCCATCCATCCATCCATCCATCCATCCATCTATTTCCTGCAGGGAAAACCTTGCTTTGCACTCCTGCCCTTAGCTGGCTGCAGAGCAGACACCAGGCTGGCTGCTGGAAAGGTTTTCTCAAGAAAAGGTAATTTTGCCAAAGGATGTCCAGCTGTGAAATCCATTCCTGCTCTGTATCCTTCATCCAGAAGACCCACAATGGCATCTGGGGTTAAGCTGGATGAATTCCTGCCTTCCAAAGCTCAGCTTCATTTCCAGCTCAGCTTCATTTCCAGCTCAGCTTCATTTCCAGCTCTCCAGAGCACAGTGTTTAAGAGGACAGGTCACTCTGCACACAGACAAGGAGAAGCTCCCTGGTGAATTCCCCACTCACCATCATCATCATGTCGTGGCCCCCATGGCCTGAGGCTGTGCTGGTGGGGTGCTGGTGCTCAGGGGGATGTGAGGTTGGCAGTGTGGAGCTGTTCATGTGGTGAGACATCTTGAGCACAGAGAGATTCACAAAGGCACATAGAAAAGTGGGACCCTGAAAAACAAACAAACAATGAAGCCTTTTTCTAAACAGAATGTGGTTTCTCTACTGCTGCTGCATGAGAAAATACTGCAAGGCACTGAGAGCTGGTGCCTCTGGACAACTCCTGGAGCTCCCTCAGGGTCCTGCTCTGGCTACAGAGAGCACACAGCAGGACACTTCAGAGGAGGTTTGTCCCTCTGCAGCCTCATTTGATTGAGATCAGCATAAAGGAACGTTTCTTATCTACACGAGGGAAAAACCAGAGCCCCTTCCCAAGTGCAGTCTTGCAAGAGGCAAAAACATCACAAGCACCACTTTAAATTGCATATACTAAAGGATCAGATTACAGGATTTCTCTTAATTGACAGTTAAGCATTTTATTGGGAACATGTTTAACACAGAAATTGTGTTAGTTGGAACAAGAGCTACTGTCAGGCAAAGGTCTGCAACAGCTACAGGCAATCCAATTTCATTTCCATGAGCTTCACATTGCCACATCTCCCCTGTAATCACATTACCCACAGTGAGAGAAACACTCAAGAGGCTGCCAGTCCCAATCCTTAATCTGGTTACCACAAATCAGGGATGTCTGGACACACTAAAAATAAATAAATAAAAATACCCTCTCTGGTCACCTGTGGGCATGGCTGCTGCAGCCTGGCCCAGCACTGCCTGGGCTGGCAATTGCTGTGGGAAATGAAAATCATCAGGTTCAAACAGCAACAGGAGAGAAAATAACCTGGGAATACCAGTCAGTCCTGAAAGCACAGCATCTGTCCTACTGGAGTAAAACCAAGGGAAATAAAAAGCAAAGCTTGGACACTTTATCAAATTAAAGTTTAAAAAGAAATGAGATACAGACTTCTTTCCACATAAATCATCAGGAGAGTTTATAAGTGTGGTTTTTCAGTTTTTAAGCTAAAATGAGCACTGTGTTTGAACAGGTAGGCATGGCTATATTTAGACTGAAGAGAGGAAATGAGACTCTAGAAGAGCTTTCTGAACTGGAAATAAATAAAGCCCTGAAAGGCACCTGGTGGTGGAGCTGGCTCAGTGTGTGACAGTGACACTGTGCAGGGGCCACTGGTGGCCCAGAACAGCAGGGCCAGGGCAGCCCCATGACAGGGACAACCAAGGGCTTTGGGGTTAAACTGAAATGAGCAATGAGAGAAATTAAAGATTTGGGGAAGGTAAGGAAACTAAGTCAGCAGTGCTGGGGGTGAAGTTAAGAAAGACAGAGGTAATACCCTGCAAAGACAAATTAAATCATGCAGGGAAGCACCAAGAAGGGACACCAGGTACCCACAGCTCAGGTATGTTCTCCATCTCTGTGCATTAGTTTGTAGCCCATCTCTTATTTCATCAAACAACCTCACAATACTCCCCTGGATGGTAACTTGGAATCATGGAATCCAATGGCACTGGCTAAAGCAGAATGAATTCCCTGTCCAGATTTCTGCTAATATTTGTTAGCTCACTTTGTCCCTGATTTGTGCTTAAATATTGAGACCAGAAAAAAGTTCACTGGGAGATAAATAGGAGAGAGAATAATGCAAGCAGGAGCTCAGCTGCCACAGAAAAACTTCACCCATGGAATGGAATGCCCATGGAACACCAGTGCAGAATGCCCAGTGTGATTTCCACATGGCACAGCTTGGAAGATTAGCCTGAAATGTTCAGGCTCTAGAACTGCAGTCCCAAAACACTTGGGGAAAAGAATCCTCTGCCAAAACACACAAACTTCAAATTGTCTGTTGCATCAGGGAAGGAAGAAGAATGGCCCAAGTGCTTTACCCACGGGATCAAAGGTAAATGTGCTGGGAGAGGAAAGACGTAACACAAGAACTTCCCCTCTCCTGCAGCCAAAATCTCCTGGAATCACAGAGCCATGGAATGTCCTGAGCTGGGATGGACCCACCAGGATCCCCCAGCCCAGCCCCCCCACCCTGGGCACCCCTGGCAGCGCTGCCCAAAGGCTCCTGGAGCTCTGGCAGCCTCGGGGCCGTGCCCATTCCCTGGGCAGCCTGGGCAGTGCCAGCACCCTCTGGGGGCAGAGCCTTGCCCTGAGCTCCAGCCTGAGCTGCCCTGGCCCAGCCCCAGCCGTGCCCTGGCTCCTGTCCCTGGCCCAGAGCAGAGATGGAGCTGTCCCTGTCTCCTCCCTCTTCTCTCAGTTGACTGATCCATTGCTTTTCCTTTGAATACAACATCCTCACCAGCTTCTGTCCAATTATTATTTATTCCTTTTAGGGTTTCACACTCCTGCCAAGCTCAGCAGGTTCCAAAATGCTCCACAGAAGCCCTGGCTGGTTACCAGGTAAAACTGCCTTCGTGGCTGGGCTGTGTCCAGCTTTCCACTCCTTTCCTTCTCACTAATCATCATTTGTCTGCAGAAAGGGAGAAACAGTGGATGTGTTTCAGGATATTTACTCTGTAGGAACAAAGAACATGCTCAGGTGTTCAGGAGTGGCTGCCTGTGCCTTGGTACAGGTTACAAAGGGCAAACCTGACCCTAACCCAGGTATCTCCTTCCCACTCTGCCATCCCAGTGCTCCAACACCAAATCCAAGACCTTGCTGCAGACACCCAACACTGAAGGACACTTTATGAGATCCTGAAAGGATGGGGTATTAAGTAGCTCAAGAGGAAATAACCTCACCTGAGCCACTGCAGCTGTGTTTTGTGTCACTGAGGTTAACAGTGGATAAATTTCTGTCTAAAAATAAATCAGTTCCAGTGGACAATCAGACTCTCATTTACAACTTGAGAGATCCCTACCTAAGTCTCAAGGTAAAAAACAATGTATAGGGCAGCAGCAGCAGCAGGTTAATGGGTGTGTAATATTCCAAGCTGCAAATCCCTGGTTGGTTTGCACAGCTCCTAAGGAACAAGCTGACAGATGTGGGGCCCTGTGTGTCACAAGAAGGTGGTGCTTTAACAAGGCTGACTCCATACCTGAGGGAAAAAAAATCCACCCCCCAGAAGTTTCTATTATTGTAAATTCTTTAAATAGGCTTAGCCTTGGACAAGGCAGCCTTTCAGCAGGTATTTCTGTCTGAATGGGTGACTGATCTCTGGCTGCTGCCTGCTCCATATGTGTGCCCTGCGAGGGAGAGGCACTGGAGCAGATTCCTGAGCACGGAGCCCTGGAGAGGGACCAGCCCTGGCTGCAGCAGGCTCAGGTACCCTGAACACCTGAAGGGGACAGAGCCCAGGGTGTGCCTACCACGAGGGACACACACACACAGTGATTTCTGTGCTCTGCAGTAACCTCCTGCCTAAGAAAACAAACAGGGTGGAACAGGAATGAGGAAATTCTCCTCCAGGGCTTCTTTCTTTCCCTCTCAGTGCTGTTACCCCAGGTGAGAGAAGCCACAGCCTCCATTTCACAACCCCTCAGATTCTGAGGGAAAACTGCAAGACTCAGAGCTACTCACAGGACACTTCTCTCTCTTTAAGCAGGAGCTCAGGCAGGCTCTGCTCACGCTGAGGTTTCTGTGCCAGCCCTGCCACCGTGGCAGCTCTGCACACCAGGCTGGCTCAGCACAGGTGCAGCAGGACCTGACAGCAGCAAAATGGCAGCACCAGGACTCACCCTCACCCTCACCCTCACCCCAGCCAACACCAAAGCAGGGCTGCCTCACCTCACACACACCAGGATCACACAGAAGGGGAGGACAGGCAGGAGATGCCAGGGCACACACGAGTGCAGGTGAAGGTGCTGGATCAGATGAGATGCCAAAGCCAGAGCAGTCCTTCAAGCAGGTCTCAGCCAAAGATCACTGCCATTACACATAACCCCCTCCACAGCTGCCCAATCTACTCCTTCTGCTGTGTTCATCCAGAGTCCCACAAAATCCACAGCAAATCACAGTTTTTCCTGTGCAAACCCCAAGGAAAATACACTTTCCAATGCAGAAACACAGGACATGCACTATAGGAAGGATCTAGTAAGCTCCTAGGAAGTACTTCACAATCAGCTCAGTGTCAAACAGATCTCCCTTATAGTCCCAAAAGGAATGAAGCCCCTTTCCAAATCAGAAGTCCAAGAGGATTTACACTGGAGCCCTAAATCAATGCCCATTACAGCATCAACTCTTCCCTTCTGAACACTGCCTCACCTTTCACAAACCAGATCAGAAAACCCAAGGAATAAAATCCCACTGGCTCTGCCCAAAAGGACCAGAGCCTTAAAAACTCCCTCTGCAGTCTCCTTTGGAGCAGTTATTGTCCCACAGAGAGGGTGGGACAATGTAACATATATTATAACATGTTTAATGTAACATATATTATAAAATAATAAATCAGCCTTCTGAAACACGGAGTCAGACCCTCATCTGCAGGGGCCAGCACAGGATGGCTCCTGCTCAGAACCCTCCTGACTCCTCTCAGAACAGCTGGAGTGATTCATACCCAAAGTCTCTCCACCAACACTTCTGATAGCAAGAACAGGTCAGGAGCTCCCTCTCTCCTGAACAAGTGAGAAACACTTGGCAATATTTACTAAGAATTAAAATCAAAGTTCCTGAGAGAAAGCCAAGGGAAAAATATTAAAAATAGCAAGCTGGAAAAGCAAATACTGTTGCTTACAGTATCCCATATGGCTCAGTGCTGCATGACACAAAGGAATGCTACAGAAAAAGCCCAGAAGGAATGGAAAAGGCACCCAGGAGTTGCTCTACTTACAGCAGTGCTGCTGGCAGCCCCAGCTCCTCTGGCTCGTGGTCCCCAGCCCAATCCCTTTTTTGTTCAGCAGTGCTGTCAATGGAGTGGGAGGGAAGCAGCAGCCTGCAGACACTGCAGCTCTGTTCACTGCTCTGGGCTCCACTGAGCTCCTCATCAGGAGACCTGAGCACTGCTTTGAGTTTATTCAATTTCCTGGCCAACTTTTCCACTTTAACTGCTTCCTTTCCAAATGGGTGGACTTGTGATTCTTCCAGGATGCCAGGCAGAGCTGCAGGGCTGCTTAAAGGCACAGCTGAGGGACACAGCAATGCCACCTGCTCATGCTGTGGCAGCAGGCTGTAAAGACACACTTGAAAGACCCAGGGAACAAACACCACATTCCTCAGTAATGCAGCACAACACGTGTTACAGACACACTCTGCTGTTTCCCAGTGGGAAAATTCTCCTTGGAACCCTCCCAGGCAGCTCCAGCAACCCCAGGCTGGCACTGGGACACAGGGAGGGACTGTGCTGGGCCCAGCACATTTAATTGCACACCTCTGCTTTTCCCTTGCACAATTCCTGAAGAAGGAGCTCTTAGAGCTATTTTAAGAACTCAAGGAATGTTTGTGAGCTCACAGCAGAACTGTGGCTTGCCCTGGTACTGCCTCACCACCTTGGAGTCTCATCCTAAAGCTTCTTCCAGACGTTTCAGGCTTCACAAAAGCTCAACACACCAGAAGGGGTTTATATAATAAATAGAATAAATCAATAGAATAATATAATATATATATACATAATAAATATAATCTAATATATATAATATATAAAAATATAATATATCTATACATATAATATATAATAAATATAATAAAATAAATAATGTATAATATAATGTACAATATAATGTACAATATAACATACAATATAACATACAATATGTGTAATATAACGTGTAATATAACGTGTAATATAACATGTAATATAATATATAGAATAAATAATTTTTATTCTCTTTATAGAATAAAGGGAAAGAGAAGGGCACAGCTCCAGAGCTCCCATACACACTGAGGGTGAGGCTGTACAAATCTGGATTTCCTGGGGTTTGTCCCTGATCATGGAAGGCTGCTGGATTCAAACTGGATCAGCAGAGCCAAGCAGGAACCCACAGTGTGACACAGTGTGATTCTCCCTGTCTACCTGAGAGCAGGCTGAGCTATTCCCACCCACAGGTTTCAGAAGTTCTGAAGGATGACAGGCACTCTGGAGAATGTCCAGCCAGAGATGCCACAGGCTGCAGTGCAGGGAGTGGAGAATAATGGGCAAAGAAAGAGCTGAGCAGGACTGCAGACAACACCTTGTGTTCAGGTTCAAAAGGAGACAATGGCTGGGCAGCCTCTGAGGAAGGAATGCCAGGATGGAAGCAGTGAGCAGGGACAGGCAGCCAAGCTGGGAGCAGCCAGAGCACAGCTCTGCCAGCACAGGCAGAGAACGGGCTTTGAAATGAAGTGCAGGGCTTCCATGTTCTGTGAGGGAAGAAACCCTCCCAGATCCTTCACCTCCACTGAGGATCCCAGCTGGAACCATTCCAGCACTGTTGTGGATGCTGGAGATAAGGACAAAGTTTTGGCACCTCAAAACCACTCTGCAGTCCATGAGCCATGCCCACAGCTGATGGGATTTGCCCAGGCTGAGACACACCCTTATTAAGGAGATCCTGACGAACCCCACAGGCAGGATGTGGGAGGAGAATGAAGCAAACCCACATCAGGCACCCAGGGAGGTTTGGGGGTGATGCTTTATTTAAGGCAGAGTTGAGCCCAGGTTCTCTGCAGCACAGGCAGATCTCAGGGCTGGGGCCACCAATCACTCCCTGCAGTTCCTCCAAACACCCATCCCCAGGACTCCTGCTGCCATCATTTGCTTCTTTTATTATTACCAAATCCTTGTGTTTCTTGTACCAATGTGTTTGTCCCTCTCTTTACCAGGTTGCTGTGTCCCCAAGGCTCAGGCTGCCCCTTCCATATGGAGCCATCACACTGTCACAGACATCTTTTATGAAAAATCCTTTCCTTAGGATTTTTTCTCCTGAGAAGCTGAGAGGCCTCAGGAACAAAATGTAAACAATGGTTATCTGCTGCTGTGGAATGCAACAGGTGCATCTGGGATTGGTCTCATGTGGTTGTTTCTAATTAATGGCCAATCACAGTCAGCTGGCTCAGACAGAGAGACTGAGACAGAGCCTTTGTTATCATTCTTTCCTTTTCCATTCTTAGCCAGCCTTCTGATAAAACCTTTTCTTCTATTCTTTTAGTATGGTTTTAAAGTAACATATATCATAAAATAATAAATCAGCCTTCTGAAACACGGAGTCAGATCCTCATCTCTCCCTTCAGCCTGAGACCCCTGTGAGCTGTCACATCACACAGCACCCACAGACAGGGCAAACACCCCAAACAGTGCCCCAGCTCCACACCATGGATTCCAGCTGGGATGATGGTTCACACAAACTTCCTGACTCTGCACCACATCATTTGGCAGCTTGATGCAGTTCTGTGCATTAATAAATGTTTAATTAAAGTGAAGATTAAAACAAGATGATGAAGTAGCAGCATATGTTCAATCCTTAAAGTCCCGTCCTCTGCTTTGAATCAAAGCATTCCTCAGCTGTACAACTCCAGCAAAGCTGGTCACAGGCACTCAGCACAGCCCCCATTACTTGAGGAGGGGCCAGAGCTTTTCCTCTCAGCATGGCTACAATAATGGCCCTTTGATGGAGTTTGTTTTCATAGCAAACCTGTCTGATCACCCTCTGTTAGAGGCTTTGCTAGAAGGGGATGGTCATTCCTAATCTCCCAGCTTCTGCAGACGCCTCAGGAAATCTGTAATCTTTGAACAAGAAGTAAAAATAACCCAGGACAGATTGTTCTTTACAGGACAATATACTGAACTTCATTAAGTGAAGCACGCACCATGTCGTTAACCACAGGCCCAGTGGAGTGAAAGGCAGCTGAAAACAACCCTGCAGAGCACAAAACCTCAGACTCTAAGCCTGGTAACATCACAGGAAAGGCTGAGAAATGCTGGCAAGAGCTGTGTAAAGGTAACAAAATAATGGGGAGTCAGGCTGAGCCTCCCCTGTGGTCAAGCCCTCTCCTCAGCCATGCTGAAACTGCAGGAGACAGCAGAGCAGTCAAAGGATCCTTTGCATCCTTGTGAGAAGCAAAACTGAGGAGTCCTTGCCAACCCCTCCTGGCTGTGGACTCATTTCTGCAGAGAAGTCTGACCCAGCCCAGGAGCAAACACCTGGAGTGCACACAGAGCCCTGCACGGAGATCCAACAGTGATCCTGTGCTGCCTCCATCGAGCTGAGACCAGGCAGTTACACCAGATGAACACTGAAGGTACCTTCCAGCTCAGCATTCCTATCCTATTCCTACTCTACCCTCCAACACCCCTCTGCTTGTGCTGGCCACCTCTCAACCCCTGCCCTGGCACCACAGCTAAGATTCCTTCCACAAGGGATCTTTAGCAAGAGGTGACAGAAGCAGCACTGTCACACTTCAGTCTGTCCCTCACAAACCCAGCAATGCAGGGGGTAGAAACTCCCCTCATCTGCACAGGAATCCCACACACATCCCCACACACCCCAGCGAATGTTTTCCTTTGAAAGAAGCACTGCAATCTCAAACTGATCTGTGCCTCCAACTCTTGGGCAAAATCTTGGGGTCCCCATGTCAGGTGCTCCCCAGGGCACCCCACTCTTGGCAGGACATGGGACAGCAGCCAGCAGCACAGCTCCCTGCCCTCTGCTGTGGTGACAGTGCTTTGGGGCTCAGAGTCCAGCACGGGGTACATGTGACTGCATCATTCCCATGCCTCTGCAAATGCAGCACACTCCTCGCCCTGCCCAGTGCACAGCAGAAGGAAGGACATGACACCAGGAATTCCACTGGGATTGGGTCTGGCAGCTGCTGTGGATGCCATGGGGTGCAGGATTACAGAACTGTCTGCTTGGCAGATGTTGCTCAGGGCACATCTGTCACACAGGCCTGGCTCAAGCTCACAGAGGGAGCTCTGGGTGCCAGACAGATGCTGGGGGCTGTCACAGGGCTGAGGACACTTATCCACAAAGGGACACTTATCCACACAAGGGACAACCAGGCAGAGCACAGCAAAATCATTTTGGAGAAGTTGACATCAAGAATGCCCTGACCTGAAGTTTTCAGCAACAACCTGCTCCCATTCTGGTAAAACATAAATATTTTCAGCCTGCATGAGTCCAAATTACCCTCAAGTCCCCAGTGGGACACTTTCCAAGGATCAGAGCACATTCCAGCCTTGGCTGTGTTGAAGAACCCCAGCCAGGGACTGTAACAAACCAAGCAAACCCAAAGTGGAGCTCAGGGAAGAAAGCAGAGCTCACTAAGCCTGGAGTCACCTGTGCACTGACCAGGAACAGACATGTCAACCACAAGTTGCTTTTATTGCCAATAAATGCCAATCAGGATTGTATTCATAAAGGGGAACTGCTGTATCAGCAGGCACTGAAGAGGAATAGAGACAAGGTGCCAATTAAAAGGTGATTGGATCTCTTACACACTCCAGTTTCCCTGTTCATCTGCCACAAAACTTCCCCTTTTTCCATGTTACTGCTCCAAGAGAACAGCCCCAGCCAGCTCTGCCCTCTGGGCAAAACCAGCAAGGACAGCAATGTCCAGTGGGATGTCAAAGCCAGAGCACATCCATTCTGCCTTGTCCTGCTCAAGCCCACCAAGAGCACAATTTCCTCCATTCTGTACATGAACAGTGGTTTTCCACCCCATTTTCATTTCCTCCACCAGCAGCCTTTTGGATCCTTATTTGCCCCACGCTGTCCTTTGTTCCCCTTTCTGTCTGGGTGGATGAGGCAGCTGTCCCCATTTCTGGCACACCAGAGCTCAGACATTTCTGGAAAGTGGCAGAATTGAGGCACTTCAGGACGTGCAAGAGCTGAGGAGTGGCTGCCATTCCCACAGCTGCCAAAGCAGAGATGCTGTACCACAGTGATTCTGTGCACAGCAGCAGAGACACCAAAACTGGCACAGGATGCCACACTGTGGTGTTACATTTTAGCCCAAACAAACTGCTCCACCACATTACAA